CATTTCCTCACCCAGATGTCTTGGTTGGGGCTTCGTGGAGGTCGCCTGCCGCTGGATTGCGATCGGCTGTACCTCCTCCTCAAGCTTTGTCGTCGAGGTCATCAGCCGCTGGATTGCGTTCGGCTGTACCTCCTCCTCCGGCTTTGTCGTCGATGTCGAGTTCTCTTGCACCCTCGCCTCCTTCGGCAGAGATCGCAGAATTACCTGGGCCGTTTCCTCCATCTTCTCCAGATGGGTGAGAGCTTCGATCAGTTGTGTTCTGGTTTGCATCAGCCATTCTTGCGGAGGTCTTAGTCTTGTCCTCGTTTCCATCGTTGCTAGCCAGTCTTGATTTGTCTCGCAGAGCAGTAGGGTGTGAAGGATAGCGAACACTCCGCAGTTGAAGTTATCTTCCTGTTGGAAGGCTGAGCACCACTTTACCTGCCATGGGGCGTTGGTCTGATCGTCAAAGATGTGTTCGATCACTCCGATTGTCAGCTCAGCCATTTCTCTTGCTCCGTGCTCCCCCGTTGTTGCAAGATTCCTCGCTCCCTCGATCCCTCGTGGGTCCCTCGTTGTGCTCGTTCTGTCCTCGCAGAGAGGGTCCAATATGTACGCGCATCGCCGATCATATCTTAATGCAATTAGAATCCAGTGGTTGCTGTGGATGATAGTTGGAAACAGGAAGGTGTGTTGCTCATCTCTCAAGCTGCTGAGGTGAAATCTGTTCCCGACTCTCAAGCGGGACGCCTCGTCTCGCAGACTGGATATTACCCTTGGCAAGAAGATGATGTTCCGCGTTTGCTGGTCCTCGTGGGCTCTCCCTTTGCGTACCATGTGTATTGCTCGTCCTCCTTGAAGAGCCTTGCTCATCTCATTGAGAGTAACTTCGATCATGTTCTCGCATAAAAATCCGCTTACTCCTCGATTGTTCAGGGCAGTGATGCCAAATTCCTTGTCGCCTCGTTTGTCTGACCATGGGATCTCCTCGATCCAATCAAAAAAATACAGTGTTCTATCGACATGTTGCGTTTCCTTTGAAACCGTTTCCATCTCCCCCCCTTGCCTACTCCCGGCACTCCCCCCTTCCTCCTCCCTTCCTCCTCCTGTCATGATTCGGTTTTAGAGTTGAGAGGCAACCTCTCCCTCTTGGTTGCCACTCTCCTCTTCCATCTCCAGTCCCATCTCCTCCTCTGCCTTGCTCAAGAGAAACTCAATTTCGTCTCCCGAGCCAACGCTGCCTTGGTAGGTTAGCGTAGCTGTGAGAACTAATTTATTCAGGGCAAGAAACAACAGGTCAGTTCGAAATTCTTTTTGTTGTTTCTCCCCTCCTCTCCCTGTTGCTTTTGCAAAGGCTCCCTGGCGTCTTCTTGATGCTACCGTCTCCCACGCATGCTGCTCGCTTACTCTTGCAATCTTACTCTTCAAAACTTGCATGTCGTCGTCCTGGGTTGCCGAGGATGATTCCGCCCATTCCTTCAGCGTCGGAAAACATGCATTTCCAGGAGATGACAAGCTGTCGTACAGGCCGACGATGGCTCCATCGAGCCTGAGTTTGCAAGCTTGGTTTTCTGCACTCTGTCCCTGGTTGACAGTGTCCTCTAGAACTTTGTAGATGTCTTCGAGGACCACGTTTGCCTCTGGTTCTGGGATGTTGATCTCATTCTCGATCCGTTCGAGATCTACCTGAGCCCAAAGAGGCTCTGTAGGGGGTTCTGTAGCGATCGCTTCCCAGATGTTGGCACTGCCTGGCTCTAGGAGAAGAAGTTTCCCTGCCCTGTCCCATGGCGCAAAGGACCTGAGGATGTCAATCGCCGTTTCTTTTTCTGAGAAGCTGAGCACTAGATGTTCACCGTTCCAGCTGTTGGTCTCGACATCTTCTTTCGAGGAGATCTTGACGATGTGCTCAGCCGCTGACTCCTTCCAGCTCGCCACGATCCGTCTCAGTCCTCGAATTGTCATGCCCATAGAGAGATCCTCCCCGTCGCAGATCTGTTCAGCTTCCTCTCTGGTGAACCTTCCCTTCTGTGCTTTACTCTTGACCAGTACCTCATAGGTCACTCTTCGTGGTACTGCTCCTAGCGCGTCGGGCAAGAAGTCCAACCTAATTGGATGCTGTCTCGTTACCCTGGTGATTGCACTAACCTGAGTAGTGAACCATTTGAGGATTTTTTCATCTTCCGACCTCAGTCCGAGGTGTATGCTTCCTCCATTCCTGTCGTCGCCCTCAAACATCCGTAGCGTGGTGCTCAGGACGTCCGTCGAAGAGCATCTCGCAATCCAATCGATCTCTCTTCCTTGTCGTATCTCGTCCACTCCGGCTGCTGCGAAAGTGCGTTTGTTGGGCTGACCTTGAGGTCTCCTCTTCGTCTTGACCTCTAGCTGCATGCCCGCTTCCGGCTGCACCTCCAACACAGCTATTCCTTGTTGCAGCAGGTGTTGACGATAGATCTCCGTAATCCCAGCTGAGTTCATGCCATTCATCTTGAGGAGGTGAGAGAACTCAGCTAGGGCCCCCGCCTTGCCAGAGTGCTTATCCTTCTGTGGCCTTATCTTGAAGGAACAAGGATGCTTCGAATGCGCGTTCACCGCGCGGATCATCTTTCCGTCGATCCTGAAGTTCGTCTGTCCTTTCCACAGCAGTTCTGCTGCGTCGTTCAATTGGAGTGTTGCCACGACTGGGATTTCATCCACTGTCGGAATCAAATCTTTCTTGATCGGGGCTCTCCACGAGATGCATTTCTTGCCCTGCTCCTCGTGCACCAAGAGTCCTTGATCCTTCAACTTCTCACACAGTACCTCAACTTGTTTTATGTACTGGGTAGGAACTCCGAGGATAGCCATGGTAATCAGTTTACCACTCTCGGGGGACGCTCCTGAAGCATCGATGCAGGCACTCTTGTCTAGTACCTCCTGTTTGTCTGCGTTCCATGCAGAGACATACCACGACTGTCCTTCTTCCCCCCATTCTTTGATGGCATCCTCCTGGCTCCTGACTTCAGCATGTTTGCAGGTCTGTCGAATGGCTTCGGCTAAGGCGTTCATCGAGACTTCCTTGGACTGCAAGGCTCTGCCTGTCCTGCTCTGAGGGTACTGCCTGACGAAGTGTTCCAATCTTCGGATCAGCTCTCCTAGCGAAGGTGCTGAAGGTGTCGTGTCCTTGTTTAGGAACTGGGAAACTCGGACACGAGCAATCTGTTTCCTTTCCTCTTTGGATAGATACCACATGATCAAACAACCGTTTCTGCACAGAAAAATATCCTGTTCAGCACCCTAGCTCGCAGGGATCCCCTCAAACTGCAGGGGAGGAGAGCATGTCTGTTACTCCAGCCCCTCCTCTGTTACTCCAGCGGCCTGTCTGTTACTCCAGCGGCCTGTCTGTTACTCCAGCGGCCTGTCTGTTACTCCAGCGGCCTGTCTGTTACTCCAGCGGCCTGTCTGTTACTCCAGCGGCCTGTCCCTAAACCCTAAACCCTAAACCCTAAACCCTAAACCCTTGATCAGATGGAAGGGTTATGATAATCCTACGTCTGATTCTTGGTTGTCGTTTCGTGAATTGACGACGCCGTTTCTTCGTCAATTGATTCGTGAGTTTAATTTGACTAATACTAATTCCTGACGCAGCGAAGTTCATCGAGATGTTTCTCAGATGATAATGCGCTTGGGAGCGTAATGATAGGAGTTACCTAAGCGGTTACGTATACTTCAGTTAACTAGCTTACTTTATCCTATCGGTTGGACAATAAAAGCTATCCTAACTTTCCACACGTTCAGAGAGCGCGGTTGTGTTGAGGTTCTTGTTTGCTTTGTTAAACCAGTTAACAAGGTGGTTCGAGTTCACAGAGTCAAAGAGCATCATCAGGATTGTCAATCCCTAACACGAACGCTCTCATCATACTGTAGTACCATGCTTAGAAAGCTGTTTGAACTATACGAACCTCTTGCTCGCAGCTTCCACCGGTCCCCTTGCACTCTCCCTACGCGCCGTAGGGCAGCATGCTCTTACTAAGGGCCGGCTGCTCTTACTAAGGGCCGGCTGCTCTTACTAAGGGCCGGCTGCTCTTGCTAAGGGCCGGCTGCTCTTGCTAAGGGCCGGCTGCTCTTGCTAAGGGCCGGCTCTGCTCTTGCTAAGGGCCGGCTGCGGCTCTTACTAAGGGCCGGCTGCTCTTACTAAGGGCCGGCTGCTCTTACTAAGGGCCGGCTCTGCTCTTGCTAAGGGCCGGCTGCTCTTACTAAGGGCCGGCTGCTCTTACTAAGGGCCGGCTGCTCTTACTAAGGGCCGGCTGCTCTTACTAAGGGCCGGCTGCTCTTACTAAGGGCCGGCTGCTCTTACTAAGGGCCGGCTGCTCTACACTGTACTAAGGGCCGGCTCCTAAACCCTAAACCCTAATTCGTGTATGTACACATCTGCCCAGATGTGAACGGTACATCCACGAATTCCGAAGTTCTGTCTTGAGCAGCCTTACACCATTTTTTCGGTCAAGTTATATACAACCAAATTATAAACAAGTATCGCCAGTACCCGGGTGTGACCGATTTGTACCAGGTCATTGTGATTACTCATCATGATTTGGACTGGTTCCTGGTACACTTGGAGGTGTAAGATGTCCTCTGACCTTTCCCTAAAGCCTGGCTCGTCGATGACCTGATGACACATTACCCTGAACTTCTCACAGTTTCCAAGAACTTATCCGGATCCCAGGTAGGTCCGATCCCGGTGACTCGGAGCGGGGGAACTTGAATCCGAGGCTGTTACGCCTCAACTTGGCAAGGTTTTATTCCCCGACTGAGATATTGTAGGGGTCATTTACATTGCAAACAGAGTGGAGGCTCAGGGGGTCGGGTCCCTGTAACTTTCGGGCTCCACAAAAAAAAAGAAGAATAACGGTTCTATGCTCATTGGAAGTAACGGGTACCCACCCCCTGGAGCCCCTGACTATTCTGATAGTTCGGGGGTGGGGTGGGGGCAACACAGGGAATATAACATCGGAACCTACGCAGCCTTGCAGAATCGCAGCAGCATGCTCTCCTACGGATACCCGACCCTCTCCTCCTACGGATACCCGACCCTCTCTTCCTACGGGTATCCTCTCCTCTCCTCCTACGGATACCCAACCCTCTCTTCCTATGGCTACCCCTATGGATTGCCAACCCAGACCGTTCTTCCTGGCTCCGTCACGGTCGGTCAACCGATCCAGAGCGCCATCATCCCTGAGACCACCGTCCCACTTCAGACTGTTGCGCAGCCCTACCTGAATAAGACCATTTCGGTGCCGATTCTGAACAACTCGTACTACCTCCCTGGAAACATCTACCAGACTGGCGTTATCCCCACTACCATTGCTCCCCAGTATGGATACGCCTCGTACCCCTATGCTACCACTGTCACTGCCAAAGCCTGAAGGGGTCGTCTGGTACTTGAAGTGCATACTGTAGCGGACAGGTATTAGAATAATAAAACACACTCTATAAACAACTCAGTCGGTCTGATACTTGTGAATGGCTGCATGCTGTGTGAACAAGATTGAAATGAAGCAGGAGCTACAAAGAAGCTGCTATGGATGCCACCTACAAAGACATACCACAGAGAGACATGACGAGTATCAACTGCTGTCTCAAAGAGACAAGACATTGTAAACCAGTCTTGAGATTTATGCTTCCCCCACGGTGAAAACTTATTACTGCGGAAATCTAGACGAGCAAGGTGCGAAATGAAATTCATCCTTGACTGCTGGTTCTGCATCTCATCCTCCACGGCTAGTCTCTCTGAGCTCGGAAAGTACTCAACGTGCCGCTCTTGCAGTCGATCAGTTCAAGCAGGGTGATATCCATGCGGTGTTGTGCAACCCTGGTCTCCTCCGCTGATGCTATGACGCAAGCAGGATCCTAAAGCAAATTCTTCAGTATGACCTCAACTGCGCGGAATCTAGTTTGCAAGAAAAAATCCGCTGCACAGTAGGGAATATGATCTACAAGGTGGAAAGAAATATTGCAGCTTTCGAGAAGTTCTAAAAACAGGAGAGAAAGTCATTGGACCCCCCAATGGAATGGTTGTAAGCATCCCTGGACTTAGCCGCTTTCATATCTACGGCAAACGAGGACGAAGGTCATGAAAGAAGAGAGATCAAAATCAACAAATACACCTTTACGAAGTCGAGTAAAATGCAGCGGCACATGGTTGCAACATTTCTAGCAAGCGATGATGGAATTCAAGCAAGGAGAGTCAGGGCAGCCGTTAGCATATGAGTTTTTACAACATCTCGCGAAGATTACAGGACGTGAATTAGGTAAATTGAGAAACTGGCCTACCCTGTACACTCATCCCCTGGCTAGAAATTCGAAAATCCACGAGCACATCCTTGATGCAGAACAAGTCATTCTCATAGGCTGGAGAAACAACATAGATACAATACTGGTGTTGGATGGTTCTGCACACAAAGCATGTGCTTCCATTTTGAGATGCGCGCAGTTGAGGACATTCCATACGCTTTTGTTACTGTGAACTTCATTGACGGCACATCATATTGCTGGTTGTCGTCATCCTGAGAACAAGATTGATGCTTCGAATGAACAGCAAATTTCACATCAAGTATCACATCCAACCTTGATTCTAAGTTCAAGTCAGTCTGGATGCAATACAAGGTATTCTCGCATGCCAGCTTACAAGCTTGAGACTCCACCCTCAAGTGATCTAAGGCTTAATCAGACGACAACGGTTTCGCCATCCAGGAAGCAAAGCAAAGTTGATGTATTTCAGCAAATATGCAAACATGCAAATAACCTGAGTGACAGGAGGAGAGTTTGGCAAGATACTACAGCAACAGCCTCTTGAGAGTAAACGGCTGGTGCTGGACTTCACGATGACTCATCCCTACAATAGCAGTGCAACTTCCGTTGGCGCTCTCCGTACCCGCCCAACAGGAGATCTCGGATCATCGCGCGAGCCATGCCACCTATCACCCGCCGAAGGCCATTCTTCCCTTCACTGCAGACACGGATTGTCTACTTCATGCTCACGCATTGCTGTTTCTCTGGTACCTTGCGGATCACCGTGGAGCCACGCTGACAGCGGAGTGGGATGGATGCGCTCAGGAGGCGGTAAGAGGTGGCATGGCTCTTGCCATCCTCCTCGCAGGAGCCTCGCGCTACTGCTCTTGGTCCTGATCCTTGTTCCCATGGTTGTGCATTACCGGCGCTGGTGTCTCTGCCTGAGGCGGACCAACCATTCATAGCCTCCCGCTAGTTTGCTCCTGTTTGTCTCTGCCACTTAAGTAATAATAAACAAAGAGCGCTTCGACATGTCGTTCGGAAAGCTCAACATCCTTCAGCACAAGAAGTGGAATGTGTGGAACAGAGACAACATCGAGAAGGTGCTTCGAGACGAGAACAAACACAGAGAAGACGAAGAGAAGAAGCGAAAGAAGCGAGACGAGGTTGTTCTTTCTGTCGAAGGCCTGCAAAGTCTGGTTTCTGATATGAGGATATATATCCCAGATAGAGAGTGAATCCAGGACTGCTCTTCTAAGGAAACGGAAGCAAGACGATTCGGAGGAGCCTCAAAACACTTCAATAGAAGATCATGGTTTGTGCATGACATTTCATTTTTTCCATGACATATGATTCTTGTAGCTTGTGCAGGAACAAATCTTGTCGTCAAGGCACCAAGTCTCATATTTGATGAATTGTGATGATAACCGTTTTTCAGAATAAGAAAGGATTCAATTTGTTTGAAGGATTGGAACATATGATTGAGGGCACAGTGTTCAATGATACTGCAACTGTGATTGCTTTCCTTCAAGACAGTCATGGCATTCTCATTTCATTGCAGGCCTCAGGAAAGAACAAGGAGACTGTTCAAGAAAAGAAGCAAGAGAAGGAGAAAGAAGAGCGGTGAATTTTCCAAGCAATATTTCTACCGATGACAAGAGTGCTGACAGCAAGTGGGGGTTGATGGGTCTTGGCAAGGTTACAAACCGTCGTGCTGAATTTCAGAGATTCACGAATTTGTAGGATAATGTGACAGGAGAGAATCAAAACATGAAGCCTTGGTATGCTCTTAGACAGGTAACATATTTTTCGTATGCAAAATGTCTATTTTGAGGTTGATATAGTCGGAAGAAGCTGCTTCATACGAGGGATATGGACAGGTATAATGAAATGTGTTCGACGAACCTGACCCTTGCCAGGCAGTAAATGCTTTTGGTTCACTTCCCTTCACCTCAAAAGGATCAAAAGACAAATGTCTGTCGTTAATACAGATAGAAACCTGCAGTGACTTGCATTTCACAGCCGGCAAAGATGAAAAGAAAAAGTTATCAGAAGATCCTATGAAAGAAATCAGGTCCTAAATGCCGGAGGAAATTATTATGTCCCTGATTTATGCTTTCAGCCATTTTGTCAGTGAAACTCGAAAACATAAGCACATGGTCTACCATTAGCGTCTTATGGATAACCTGACCCCAAAGAACAGAAACACAAGAAGAAGGAACGTGGACATTCTTCATCATCCAAAGATGACTCTGTCTCTACTCCATTCTCTCCTCCAAACATGATACGGTCATAGGCTGCAAAGATAGAGGCACTGCGAGCAGAACGGGTTGCTCGGCAGGTGTCATAATGCCTTAAGAGGCAGAAGGGGGAGGAGGGGGGGATGAGAGAGAGAGAGGGAGAGGGAGAGGGAGGAGGGAGGAGGGAGGAGGGAGGAGGGAGGAGGGAGGAGGGAGGAGGGAGGAGGGAGGGAGGGAGGGAGAGCGAGAGGGAGGGAAGGAGGGGAGGGGGAGGGGGGAGGGGAGGAGGGAGGAGGGGTAAGGGGGG